CGAAATTGTAGTACAACTTGAGTGCGTGGAGGAAGCTGTGGAGCTGGAAGCTGAGAACTGGCGACTTTGTAGTACAACTTTAGTACGCGGATGAGTCATCTCTCGTGGCTGAGTCATCTCACGCGGCTGCTCTTGCGCCCCTGCAACTGAGTCATGTCCCCCGACCACCCGGCTCTCTTGAGAGGTTGACAAATTTTGGCTACTTCGCTTACTCATAAGTGGCTGCCACAAAAGAGTCATCGTGACGTTAGTATGTGTGTACTTCACCTTCATGACAAACGATGTTCGCTTGGAATACACGAGTCGCTTGTCATGATCGTGACGTCGTTTACTCTCAGGTCGCCCTGTTCGTGGAAACTTCTGTGTGAAATGTACGTTCTTCAGTTCTATTTGAACCTCTTCAGCGTTGTACTTGCACAACTAAGGTTGACGTTGCGCTGCCGTTGCATCGACGCATCTACGTCTACACCCCCTCACCTCTCTACATTTACATCTTCACACGCTCACATCCGCAGATCTACCTCTCCACCTCATGCACCCACACATCTGCGCATCTATATATCACATCTGTACATCCACACTGTCGCTCCTTCACATCTGTCCTGTCTTTCTTTCTTTTCTTTTTTCTACATATCTTTTCTCTCGTCTCTGTGCATTTACATCTTCGCACGCTCACATCGACAGATCTACCTCTCCACCTCCATACATCTACAGATCTATATCGCACCTGCACATCCACACTGACTGTCACTCCTTCACATCCACCTTCTCTTTCTCTCTTTCTATGCATCTGTTCGACAGTGCTGGACAATTGCATGTCTCGCTCTCGGGCCAACCGTCGTCTAGTTTGTCTTTGCTGCGCGCACACTTGCACATTCGCCCTAGCCTTAATTCTTTTTGCTTCCCCTCGGGGAGGCGTGTGTGTGTGTGTGTGTCACCTTTGGAGTCACAAGGTTGCTTTTGGAGCGTTCTCCTTTTTTAGCAGGGGAGTGCGGCGTGATTGCTCAGCGAAGCTAGTACAATCACGGGGTACCGAGTCTGATCAACTCGGTGTACCTGCCTGAAATTTAAGCTTTTGTAAAGGTCTAATGAGTTCGGCAGTCATGCACGATACGCCGTCATTTGTCGTTTCGACTTCGACTTGAGCTTTTGGCCCCATCTCCTTTTGCAGACCTCGAGGTCTCATAGGGTTTTCTTGGACTGTTCAGGATTTGGAAACCCAGGTTGGCGTGTGGCAACCGCTTTCAAGTCAGTACACAATCCTATAAGTGTGTGTCACACCCTGTCTCTAAGAGTTCTCGCAACAACTCCAAGTCATGACGCAGGGGAAACTTGGCCAGTTTCCTGTACCTGCGATTTGAACTGTTGTTTCTTTGTTTCCATGGTCGTTTGCGTGATACCTCCCACAAACCCTCTCCGATCGCCGTGCAGCTGACTTCGAGCTGACGTACAGCTGAGCCACCGCCGCATTCCGCAGTCAAGTGCAACATTGTTCAACACTTCAGTTGAGCTGACTTGGAGCCTTTCAGTTCCACCATCCCTTTCACCGTGGATTATCTTACTGGATGAACCTGTGACTAAGTGTGTGTGTGTGTGCCGCTCCCTGTTTCTAAGGGATGCACATTGCATTTAGCTTGCTCTACCTAGACCTCCTACTCTATTGTGCAACGCAATGCTTCTCCGTTCAACCCCATGCAATCAATGATGACCTCATTGGTTTCTTCAATTAGACCCCTGGAAATCGACTGTCTGATTGCAGCCGTGATAATCGAACCTTTCTTATGACACTTCACTGGCAACCCCATCCAGCACTCCCTTATTGACAGAGATCACCCTCAGCATCCTACACAACGCACAATTGACAGACTTGACATCACACGCATTTGTCCAACACGCGCTGGACAATTGCATCTTTCAAGCGCGCACTACCGCATTCCAACAAACGGGAACTGGTATAGGCTCCCAGCTAGCGCTGGCTGATTGAACACTCCTGGCACCAGATCATTTCAGTCCTCTTGAATCACATCCTACTATCACATACTACCACCGACCGGTATGTCGACAACCGATTCATCACTTTCAGCGAACATTCAGCCAGCTACTAAGCATTGCGCAGTAGGCCACAACGGCCGTAGTTTTGAGCTCGAGAACAAGTGATCCCAGTGCAGCCTTTAGTTTACTGTGCATCACGCGTTGGCATACAAAGCAAGGCAAGACCCCCCGGATGTTTTGCTCTATAATGAGGTTCGGCCTGGTCCGGTTTGTTCCTTCCAGTGGGCTCCCCTTCCTTTGCAGTTACACACCTTCCTTTTTCCTTTCACGTCTCTTCTGCCTTCATGTCATGCCATTTCATCTGATTGTATATTTTGCATGCACACTCGCAAGGTGCCCCAGGTCTTGCTTTTGATGAGGCTTGGCTCATCGGTTGTCCCTGGTCATCTGACTTCGTCTCCATCGCCTCCACACATTTCGCCTCCACTTGTCTTCGCTTGCGCGTACATGTGCTTTAATTGCCCCCCTACTGGGGGGAGTGTGTGTCTGTGTGCGTAACCTTTGGAATCATAGGAAGCCTTCTGGCTTTTATGATTTGAATTTCTTAGCAGGGGGACCACCCATGTGCTGCGCGATGGTCCAATGAAGCGGCCAGTACATGTGGATATCACTGCTGATCACGACGTGATGTACTTGCTCGATTTGTGGATGTTGCTAACTACATCACCCATTCTAGACTTCAAGGCTGTTTAGGTCGATGTAAGGTTTGGAGATGTGCACTCGCCGCTCGTTCTCAACGTTTCTCGTTTCAGACTTAGCCTCTTTGGACTTGATGCCTTTTGGAACTGGAAGCCTTCTGGAACTTGAAACTTGAGGATGACTGGACCTCGTTGCAAGTGTCCATTTTTTCCCGAGGCTTCTTCGGGGCTTGGAGCAATCAAATCGAACGCACAATAATATCTCGAGTGCGTGCATTTGGAAACCTTGTCTTTCGGAAAGTGGCACGTGTTGCATTGACAAGACACTTGGTGTGCTGCACAACAGTATCCCACTTACTGTAATCCAAGGCCGGTCGTTTTCCAAGGATGTTTCAACAAAAAACAAACTCAGGTCGTCTGGATGGTCAACTCAAATGTCGATGTACTGGTCAAACAAGAAAGGGCTTACTCTCCACAAGAATGACAACTCCAATGTCTAAACAAGACGAAAGACAATGAAGTGCACACAAACGGAACAGCAACAGCAAAAGAAACAGCAACAAGAAGACTGGGAGCCATGACACTGCAAAAAGATGAAGATCGTGCAGTTCTAGCACCCGAAAGACATCCTTCGCACCAAAGGAATTTTGCAGGGCATATCATATAATGAGAAGCAAGTCTGGTGGCATCTGACATGTCTCCTGCACAAACGGAACTCTGAAGGCTCATTTAAATACTGTACTTCTTTTGGTCAAGAGAGGGCTTGAGAATTTCCGGCCAGAGTCCTAAAGGAACGGTTCATCTCATTGCTAAGATGATTTCTTGCGAGAATTGTTCAGCTTACAAACCCATTGTCTTTGCTTTCTCATAGAAATTGCTCCCCCACCCGCCAAACGCTGTGAGAGACCCGATGGCAAGATAAAAACATACCTGAAAATTGCATTTATGCCATTGGGTCGCTAACAGGTAGCAAAAACCAGGGCCATGCAGCGACTGCCTTACAAGCAGATTTGGCAACACGGGCTACACCCCTCAAACCTTCACCCCCTCAGTTCCTTTGGCATGCGCCCGTCTACAAAAGCCAGCGACTGACAGGCTAGGTTTGTAACCTTGGGGGGTAGTGACTAACAAAGGACACGCGATATGAGAAAGCATAGTTGGAGAAGCAATCCCAGAAGGCCTTATGGATTTGCAAAATATCAAAAGCTTCAACACCAAATTGATCATCGAGCTGTATACTCAACTCAAAAAGACTATAGATATTAATAATACTTAATTATTGATCATTAAAGGATTTTGTAGCGTGCCCAACTGGTTTTGGAGCCGCTTTTCAGCACAAATGTTTGGAAGACTGTGGCGCCTACATATAAAGATTCATGCAGGCACACAATGAAAACAGCTTGACTTTGACCCAAGCCTCACTCTCTTCACCCTCCACGTCCTGCCAGCATGTGATTGTGGGAAGCTCAATGTTACTCAAATTGTAGCATTCCAACTTCCAACCTTCAATTTTGGGAACATATTTTTCAGTTCACAAACAGTCACTGTTGACTTTGGAAAAATGGGTTGAACGAACGAAGCCTGGCCTCATTGCCACACCAAAATTCACCGTCACTGTCATCCTGTGGCACCAAAGTGTCTAAATTCACTCGCACTAAATGCCTAAGGTACCGACTAACATGATCTACAACATGTAAGGAAATGTTATATAGAACAATTCTTTAGCTTGTTCTGTGCAAAATACTATACTATGGAGGACAGGAGCACAAAGAGTGAACCCCGGTGTGAACCCCATGCTCGAGGCTTTGCGCTCACTCCTCGTGGGGTGCTGCCTCAGGCACCTGGATCCCACAAGTGCAAATCTATCGAAAGAATGCGATTTTTCACCAAGTCTTCCTTACGCCATGCAGTCCAATCGTTTTGTTTCAAGCACACAGAAAGGTACATGTTTGACAAAATGCTCGCGTGAACTGAAGGCAACGCTCAGATCAAGGCATGCATGAATATCATTTTCAACATAATCACAACATGGAGAAAACATACTAGCTGGACACAGCGCTTTCAAACATGAACAGCACATAAACTTGAAGAACCTGATTCTTAGAGAGTTACAGTCTCAGTGTTTTTTTGTTTGTGCTGTTTTGGCTAGTTGTCTATCGTGGAGATGATCGTTTTAGCTTTGTCACTTTAGAGACTGAAGCTCCGTGTTGATTCACATTTGTTTTTCTGCATGCTGGTTGCTCATACTCATATGGTACCGGGCAGGTGTTTCATGAACTTTCATCGTGCTTACGAAATTCATCGAAACTGGCGAGACTGCTTTCAACTGGAAAGTCAAGAGCAGCATGTCCAACCGGAGTCCAACCAAGAAGAACAAACGTGGCGAAGGTCCAGGAAACAAATACAAGCTGCGACTTTGCCCCAAGTCTCATTGATCTGCAGTTCTACTTCTAAAAAACATGTCATCCGAACATGACAGAACACTGTTAAACACACCCCACAATTCACAACAAGAACAATCGATTGTATCCGTCAAAGGTGTTGCCTTTTTCTTACCTTCAGGCCTTCAGGCTTTGGTTTGCGGGAAAAAGGCTAAACAACATAAACACAAGCCTACAAAAGGTATGCGTATACAACTTTCTAGTGATACTCGAATCTGCTCATGTTGCTGCTGATGCACCAGTGTGTGTGTGTGTGTCTGTCTGTCTGTGCGTGCGAAAACCGCTACAAGTATCACAAGCAGTGAGTTGACCTGCTTTACTGACCTGTTGTCACTGACCTGAATTGCAAACTACACGTTCGGATTGAAACAGTAGGGGAGCAAAGAGGGCTTGCAAAGCAGCTCTGCCCAACGAAGCTCTTTGCCAAAGTCCTAGCCAGTGCAGCTGGTCACTTCCGTGTACCTGCTTGCAATTGAACTGTTTTGAACTGTTCGAACTGGTCTTCAAGCCGCGACACCACTTTTCTGAGCCATACTGATGGTAGACTAGCGCGAGCTGATTGTTCGCGTCGCACGCCTCGATGCTTTTTCAAAAAAACGATAGTGTCGCCTATGTCGCCTGCGCGCACGATCTTTGGAGGTTGTGTATTCTAAATTCTAAATACTTGACGGTGTCGTTTAACTGTGAACTTTAGGCAGTGGACTTAGGAGGTCCTGGGCTTCAACATCTTTGCACAGCTCTCCAAAATAACTTGTCCCAGTGTGAACAGGATGGACGCCAGACTTGGCGACACTGTCGAGCACCCGTGGGTGACTCTAAAGCTGGCTGCCCCATTGAAATAATTGGGGAGGAATCACAAACAGTGACGGTGTTACCCGCTTCGCGCGGAAAGCCCGCGGTTCAAAGGAGCCGTTTCGGACTTTTCCTCGAGCACAGCTGTTTCGCACAGAAGCTGCCATAGAGCAGAATCACCTTCGGGAGAACAGGGTACTAAGCTCCTGCGGGGCCTACGGAGTCCATGCCTTATCCGGCGCGCGCACGCAGGTTTGCTTCAATGAGGTTTGGTTTCTTTTGTTTTGGGCCCCTTTCATCTGTTTCCCTTTTTCATCTTTCCCCTCCACATACTTTGCTCTTTTCCTCTTTCTTTTCATGTCTTTTCTCCCTTTACGTTTGGTCATCTCATTTGCGTACACATTGGTCTGGCCCTTAGCGTGCTCGTGCACTCATACATGTAACCCATGGGTCGCCCAGGTTGTTTTGAGGAGGTCTGGCTCATCGGTTGTCCCTGTGCACTTGTGGTTCCTTTTCATCGCAACCACATACACTTGTCTTGTCTTGTCCTCCTCTCATGTCTTCATCTTTTCGTCCTTCTAGCGCGTGCATGTGTGCATCAGTCGGAGCCCTGAATGCTGTGCCCTCCATTGGGAGGGCCTTGTGTGTTTGTGTGTGTGTCTGTGTGTGAAAACCGCCATCACAAGCGGTGAACTGACCTGTTTTACTGACCTGTTGTCACTGACCTGAGTTGCAAACTACAACATGTTTGGATTGAAGCAGCAAAGGGACAAAGAGGACTTGCAAAGCTCTGAGCATACAACCCCAGAGGTGGTCAATGCTGTTGTAGGATTTTCCCACCCTCCATTCTTTTTGTCCCTTTTCTATGGTTCGAACCAACAGTGGCTCAAATTCTTAGTTCTGATCGGCTGCTGGACCGAAACGGATCTCTGGATCAGCAGCCACTTCTCCATGTCTCTTGCCATCAAATTTCCACGGCAAAGTCACAGGTGGATTCCATTGAAATTGCTGGCCTGACTGTCTGCTGCTTTCAATTCATCCTGCAAGGACCGCCGCCTGTCAAACAAGTGCGCGTTGCCTGCTTAATTAACGGCACGCTTGTTCTTCACTCTTTGCATTGCTTTGCAGAAATCAACGCAGACTCCTTTTTACACAAAGAGCTCAGTGGGATCCAGCGGGCCTGTCCAGTTTCTCTTTGACAGATTGCCGCCTGCAGGAAAGCATGCGCCGTCGTTTCATCGTTATTTGGAACGCCAAGAAAACAGCGCCTCCGTTTTAAAAGAAAACATCAAAAAAGTTTTGCGAAACCACAAGGGCCCTTGCACTGCACATTGGAAATTTTAAATAAACAACGTGGCAAAACACATACGAGCAGCGGCGACAACAACAGAACAAAACACAACACGCGGCACCCCACACCGACAAACTCTAGGCAAAAGTGCGACACGCACCGATCGCGCAGAAGGTCATAGTGATAAGTGAGAAGATGATTTGTTGTCCGTGTGGTAGTCGTAGTGGTAGTGGTAGTGGGGTGGTATGGTAGTGTGGTAGTGGTACAGTGTGGTAGCATGGTAGTGTGGTGAGGCTCACATTGAAGGTTCACAAAGCACTGCCCCTGCCACGAAATCTGCACTTCCAGATGCTCAAAGAACTGCGTTTTGGCCTTGCTGCTGTCCTTGGAAGTGCTTCGCAAAACGCCTTGGCAGTGATGTGAATCTTGATGCGCAGGTTTCGTGGCAGGCAGCGCTTTGTGTGGAGTTTCGAGGCAGGCGCAGCACTTTGAGCCTCAGCACCTCGAAGTCCAGATTTCGAGGCAAGAACCTTGAGGCGAAAGGCAAAACACTGTGTGAGCCTGGAAGCGCAGCAGACTGTCAAAAGCTGCTGAATTGTGTACGGGATCTGGAGGTGACGAGTGCTCTGTGAGGAAATGCTCGGATAGTTGTGGTGGGGAGGCTGGTAGGCCATGTGTACAAAGCCACTGGGTGAGTGTTTTGCGGAATGTGCGGAATGTGTGAAAGTAATGATGTTTGGCGGAGTATCTGTTAGTGTTGCTTGAAGAGCAAGATGGCGGTAGAGAGATGAGAGAGGTTTTCGAAAGTGAGGACGTACTTCCTGGGGGGGATTGTCCTCCCCAGGCGAGAATCGTGCCACGATCTTTCTCGGCTAAGCTGAGGTCCCAGACCCAACACCAAACAGAGCTGGCTAAGCAACCCAAGCCACTACAAAGACATTCAGCTGTTCCCAGCAGCCGTTTCTTGGTCCAACGAGATCATCCACAGTAGCCGTGCTGATCACTGTCTGGTTGCATGTAAAATGTTTTTGCACGTCTCGAGAACTTTAGAGATTTGTTGACATTTTTGGTTGTTGTGAAGGATAATTATTTGAACTGTAAAATCGTTGCTCCTTCTACTTGCTCATTAGTTCCTCGAGATGTTTCCACATTCTTTTGCAAATAAGATCTCTTAACGTGATTCTTTCTCATGGACCTCTCCAATCTATGATTTATACTTGTGGCCCATGGCGATCCGCGCTCGGCGAGCGACTTGCGACCTTCGTGGAGAACCGCTTCAAGCAATTCCCTAGGTCACCAAATCAAAGTTGAGGGTCGAGATGGGCACCCTTCCAGGGCACTCTGGCTAGTCATTTTTTGCATTTTTGAGAAATTGTTTTGATCATAGTGAATCATGTTTGAAGCATAAAATTGCCACAAATAAGATTTACAATGATTAGGAATTACTCAAATAAGAGTAAAAATGACTCAAAAGTGATTAGACATGATTTTGAACAAAATTCACCAACGGGTAAAAGTATGAGTGAACCACAAGTGTTTTCACGAGTAAGTCCACGAGTGAAGCCACGAGTGAAGTTGCAGTGAACTTGCAAACAAAATCAAAGTTCAACATTTCCTTTTACGATAAGTTGACGAGTCGAGCGACAAGTCAACTTACAAAACACAATGAAAGAAGTACTAAGTACAAACGGTTCCTTTACGATAATCAACGAGGCCAGGAGCACAGCGCCCCTGGCCTCGTTGAAAGCTTCTGAAACTAGTAAGTTTGGGCTGAAGAGCTCTGTGCTGGCAGGGATTGTGACAAAGTAAGGTTTATGAAACTAGTCAAGTTTTGGCTGAAGGCATTAAGTATTCTTTTTGAAAGTAGTAAAGTTTTGGCTGTGCTGGCAGGAATCGTAAGAATTTTGAATAGTAAAGAATATTTTTTGCTGAGCACTGTGCTGGCAGGGATTGTTACTGTAAGATTTTTGAATCTAGTCAAGTTTTGCTGAAAAGCGCTGGATCGTAACAAGTATATAAGTTTTTTGAAACTAGTCAGGGTTTGGCTGAAGAGCACTGTACTGGCAGGGGTTCCAACCCTTGCAATCAACATCAAACTCAGTCAAAAATGCAGTAGGGCTCCATTTTGGTCTAGGTTAAAATTGAACAATACGTGACAAGACATTCAGCTCAATTAGCATAAACCTCATCAAACAAGTCATGGTCATCCATTGTTTATCTTCATGATTCACCTGGCTGGCATGTACGAAGTGCACTGCTATTCAGTTTACTGCGCTGCAAGCCTGAGTCCCAAACATGCCTGAAAATATCAAGGAATGTCGCAGGCCGCAAACACCATTTTTTAACAAAAAGCCACGTTCAAAGTGATCGCTCACAAGTAAATATACAAACTTGCCCAGCAACTTTTGGCGGGCACCATGTGAAGAACCTGATTCATAATTCATAGAGCAAAGTATTACAGTCGAGTGGTGACAAGTCGTAATACATATCACTTTGGCTGACACATTTTGGGCACCATGTAACGTAGCAAACTTTCAATCCGTCCTCCACATGCTTACATTGACCTGTGACATGGAACTTGTGCCCAACTCCGTCATAAAAACAAGTCTGCTAATTCGACGTCCAGATGAAGAGTTTGGCACAGTGCCCTTCAGCTTCGACTCTGATTCAATGCTTCAAAGAATATGCGATAGGCTTGTCTATCAATACTTTGAAGATCACATAATAATTGACGCCAGGCTCTTTCAATGCCAGAGTCTGACTCAGTGCCCCAATGTGATGATGACATATCGGCGTCACGGGAATTTTCTAGAAACGCAGCTTTCAGAGTCATCATCATACGACAACTGCACTTTGCCAACAGCACTCATACTCAGACACCAAACCAAGGCACACTGTTCATTGTTCAAATCAAAAACCGTCGTGGCACTACTCTTGCGCGCGAAGCGCGCCTGTTTCCTTTTCCTTTTCTTGCCCTTTTCCTCTTCCTCGTCCTTTTCATTCCTTTTCCTTTTCCTGTTCCTTTTCCTTTTCCTCTTCCTTTTCCTCTTCCTTTTCTTTTTGCCTTTTCCTCTTCCTTTCTTTGACTTTTTTTGTCCTTTTGTCCTTGTCCTTTCCTCTTCCTTTTCCTTTTCTTCTTTCTCTTCCTTTTGTGACACCCCTTTTTGTCAAAAGTGGATGTCTGCACATAGCTCTACCGGCGCGCTCCAACATCAATGGCGGAAAATGTCCTCCAAGATGACCTGATTGACCCAACATAGGTTCCAGATATGGGACACATAGCCGCCAGATGGCCCTACATAGGCCCCAGATATGGGAAACATAGCCCCAAGATGGGCCGAGATTGCCTCAAGATGTGGCCATAGGCCCCACACAGTCTCAGAAAGAGAGAGAGAGAGAGGCGGCAGGACACGTGCAAGACGGCTCTCCCGACTTCGGCGTATACCAGGTATATCCTAACATAGGCGGACCCCCTCCCCACCTCCGGGTCACTGATGCCCCTGTAATTTACAGTGTATCGTGTGTGTGTGTGTGAGGTATAAAAAACACTATGTTTTACAGGGTTTTGGGCCCTTCGGCGGCCGAGAATTTCATCTTGGCGATGTTAAAAAACATATGTTTTTCCATGGTTTTTGCTTTGCGGGAAGGGAAAAATCGTAAACAATTGTATCGGAAGATTTTTTCAACATAAATTGCCTAACATATCCCCAACATAGGCCCAAGATAGCCAACATATCCCCAACATATGCCCAACATAGCCTCCAAGATGGCTCAACATAGGGCCACCATAGGCCAACATGGAACCAACATACGCCAACATAGGCCCAACATAGGCCCAACCTAGGCCAACATAGGCCAACATAGATAGGCCTAACGTAGGCCAACAGAGGCCCAACATAGGCTCAACATGGGCCCAAGATGTGCCCAACATAGACCACATGGGCCCAACTTGGCCCAACCTAGGGCCAAGATGCGCACCAGATAGCTTAACTTTGCTCAATATAGGGCCCCCGTCTCCGACGCAGAGCAGTTTCCCACCCCACCCAGGGCCCAGTACGCCCCCGATAGCTTAACGTGCACCCGACCCAGCCCTGCACAGACCCAAGTGGGCTGGCGCCCGGCTGTTAGGCGTAAGCCTTTAAATCTATAACCATATAACTCCATGATGTGCCTCGGAGGCTGCATCCGCTTCTGAGTTGAGCATGCGCCACCATGGCCCGCTGTTAATAAGTTTGAGTGAAGCCAACCAAACCAAAAATACTACAGAGCCCAATTAAATGCCACCCTGCTGAATCCTGCGATTGTGCCTGAGCTTTCAAATCTGAGCAATTTGTTTCTTCTCAGGCTCTCAGGCAACAAAATGATGATTTGGCACTGAGCGGCCTGATGCATTCTGAACTTGTTTGAACCACAAATTCATTTCAAGTATTGATGCCAACTCCTCTCTCAGAGGCATCAAGAGGTCCTTACAAAATCTTACAAAGCCACTTTAGCTCACATTACTGTTAAACACGACAAAACTAAAGCTAAAAATCAAGGTCAAGGTGCATTTTTCAGCTGAGTGGTCTTAAATGTTGAGCGCCCATGCTTTTTCCTCCCAGTTTTTGACATGTTCAGGATCCTTATCGCGATCCTTGCCACGCAGTCCACGCATCAATCCATTCTGGTGAAATCGATGGCCTGGAGCAGAACAGAATTTATTCCACATCAAATTGATTGTTCAACAGCTTGTGGCCTTCAATTTCAGCTAAATTGAAACACAGCTAGCTACGACCATGGACCAAAGTGAAGCTGGCTGAAACCTAGTCAAAACATCGCAAAGCATTCGTTTGCTCGTGCTGCAACACGAAAACGGCAGGTGTCAACCTTACCACACAGCCATCGTGGGTACTATGCTGCTTGCAAAAAATAGAAACGAACACAACCGCACCAACCAAGGCGAAATCACTTCAAGCCGCAATCTTAAGGGTCACCAGAATCGGGCGGGAAAGTTGTGGTCGAAAGCTGGCCGCCGTCTGGGTGCACTCAACCCCAGGGAGCCTGATTCTGTTAAACTTAGCCAGGCAGGTGACAGGTGCTAAAATGACACAGCCCAACGTGATGAGGCCCTAGAAGTTCTTCTATCTAAGCCCCAAATTTGTCGGGACTGTGCCACTCCGCAGACTACCCCAATTTTTCGTTGAACGGAAAAGAAGCGCCTGAAGGAATGAACCTCCAAGTGAAACAAACACACCTTACAGAAACGAAAAACAATTTCGGTCTGTGGCTCTTGTGATTTTCCGTGAGGCTAGGCTTCAACAGAGCAGTGGCTAAAATGACCCCACATGAGGAGGTTCAACATCAGAATCCAAAAACGGACCACCTTTAGCCACAGCCTTGGACACACCTGACAAATTATCCACCCGATTTTACCTAAACTATCATCAAGGGCTCAAGCCACCCCATTCTAGCCAGGCTGGCCAGACGGCTCTCCTACTGTACTGTCAAAGACCTGCAGACTAAAGGGTTAATAACCACAAGAAGACTACCCCTTGCAGGCACGGTGCGGTCTCACACACTCCATGGATATGAGTGAGGAAAAACATAGAAACAACTTTGGAATTGGAGCAATTTAGAACTCCCTAAGACGGCCTGTGTAGTCAAGCACAGCAAATCGGAGGAACTCCGTTACTGCGTTTAAGAAGACCACCTGCAAGGACAACTGACAGGCAGATGGTGGCCAACGTCTGGGTCGTCAGAACACACTGCAAGCAACACATATATAAACGCCATCCCCTCCACCTTGCAGGGGGTCCGGCAGAATCGTTCGCTGCTGAACAGGATGAACGACAACAGGTCCATTGCCGCCCCCGCCACAACGAAAAGACTGTTGCCACGATGGTTTGGAAAGTGGACACCTACACTGGCACTTCAACTGCAGGGCTGAAGGTTATGGCCACAAGCCACGAGCAGCATCGAGCTGCGCTGTGCTGTTTGACGGATCGGGTAGTGGAGGCGGCGGGCCCGAACATGATGCTGGACCAGCTCCCAGAACGCAAGCCGACTTCCAAGCGCAAATCAGCTTGACCAGTGCCGGCAGGGATCAATCAATGTCAATCACAATATCAATCAGGCCCACCTTCATCAACAAGAGTGGAAGTGGGCAAAGGGCAAGTTATTGTATCCTCGGGAATGTCGGGTAACCTAGCGGAGGCTGCCGCCGACACGGCCACCTTTGGTATGCTCATCGGATCCGCCAAGGTCCACGCAGTGGTCGGAGCGATCCAACAAGCCAACACTGCACCGGATCCCGTCAAAGACTCCTGGGGTGCCAACAGGTTGCCCTCCGATCTCGGCTGCGCAAAGGGGGAGTGCAAATGTGTTCAAATGCATTTTGTCTCAAGCATGCGGAACCATGGCATGAAACAGTGCCACCATCGCAAATGCTTTTTTTGTTGCTTTATAGGCATTCTCCGCAGGTAGCAACAATTTTATTCAAGTAAATAGCCACCCATGCCCACCCTGCAAGTAGACGAGCAACAAGTGGCCTCCAGCATGTCCAGATTGCCTCCTTGCTCGGCCAAGCTAGCCAGTGTGAAGCCACTGGCATAGACATCTGCCCCGTGAGCTACAAGCTCCTTGACTCAAGCCCAATGGAGAATAGGTTGCAGGGTGTCAAGGTAGCTTTGGGACAGGCAATGCCTACCAATTCATGTTTCAACATTTACATAAGTAACTTGTTTTGTGGTCTTGAGTGTTTGTTTGGTGTGGTGCGAGCATGGTTGTAATACTGTATAACTCAGAAATGGCAAAGGGCAACTGCTTCAGCCTTCACCAGTTCGACAGAGCCAGTCTTGACGGCACAAAGCAAAGGGTATCGTCCACGAAGGTCTGCTCTATTTGGATCCGCCTTCCGATCCAAAATGACTGTCACCTGCCAGAACATCAGCTCACTCAGTATGCATCAAATGAGACCAGGCAAAAGAAGTCTGGACAATGTGAGAATCGGGACACATACGGTATATATAGGTATAGGACGCGAACAGCTATGTCAAAGCGGTCTGCAAGTATACGTTGCCAAGCCACAAGATTGACATGCGGTCCTCTTTCAGCCCCACAAAGGGCGTAGGTCAAAAGAGAACTTCTGTCCTGGTGAGTTTGACTGAACTCATCACAACTGCACATCTTCTAGCAGATTCTAGGCAGAGCAAAATGCGCCAAATATTGACAAACATCCTTGCCCGTCTGAATACAAACCAAGTTTCTGGTAGCATCGATTCTGGGCTTATCCCACTTCTTACCAGCCTTGGCACTGTACAGATTTAATTGCTTTGCTGACTTCTCATACAGTAAGGGTCATGGGGAGGTAGTTCACCGGTGCTTCACCAACCGCCACTCGAGCTCAGCTCTCTGTGCATCGGGGCAGCTCAATGATCGTCTCTACATCATGCACTTCAGCTGCTCGACAGAGCCGCACACCAGCTCGCCGTAACCTCGGCCGTGACAAAGCATCACGACTCCAGGACACCAAGCCGTCCATTCTTTGCCCGATCCGTCCATTTTGTTGAGCGAACATTCTCTCCTATGCTGACCATTCTCCCTATGTGTTAATGTTAGTCAGATTTTTTCCTTTCTCAATGATTCTCTGATCTTGCGTGCCTGTCTGTAAACGTGTGCGTTTCCAGACTCTGGGCGTGCTTCTCTTGGTGTGCTCTCCTTTGTCTGTGTAGCTAGTCTCTCACCTGTTTGTTCTCGACCTCCAGTTTGCACCCCGACGCTACCAAAAATAGAGGTTAAACCTTTTTTTATCAAGAACGGTCGATATATCCAATGGATTATAATGGGTCAGAGTGCTTCAAACAGTAAAATGTCAAACCATTAAGTTACTGTAAGTCAGAGGTGTTTTTTCACTAAATGAAGTGTGCTAGCTGACAAACGCGTGCTTAACCACACCCATTGTCGGTAGCAACGGGGATAATACTGCAGTTGAAAGTTCAGTCCAAAGTCATCTGGCACTGGCGCGTGATACGCGTGTCTACGCTACCACGCTACTGTTTCCACACTTTCGATTGAACATTGAGATCCTCGCTGCTCATCTGCCGTCTTCGCTCTCAGTTGCTCTCTGTCCTTCAATACTTGTTCCCCACATTGGTGTGTGGGATTTTTGTTTTGTTGCACTGACTGCCCGGCCTTTCCCACACCGCCCGCCGCCCATGCACACTCTGACATTGGTTTGCTGTTAACTCAATTCCCACGATGAGAAGGAAGGCGATGGAACGGCAAGGTGAAAGGTCCAAGAAATTGTAGACGTTTGAACAAAGGTTGTTTCTCATGTCTGCAGGGCTCAGCGGTGGTGAACGAGCGGCGCAACTCAGCTGCAAAACCAAGGTTTGGGGGTGGAAACATGAAGAACCATGAATCAAACCGTGGAGAAGTAGGGTGACAGCTTGTGAAAAACTCAGCAGGTACACACCCAGACGTCTCTCATTGCTTCCCCTCCAGCGACTTAGCTTCGTTGGACAAGGTTCATCGCTGGAGGCCTTGCCCCCCTGCATGTGAAAAGTGAAGTGGAGAGTCCTAAAGGCACCTGAAAGCACGGATGCGTACGGAAATTGATCGCCCCAAGCACCTGAAGAAACCTAAATGAAAAATTGCCTGGGTAAAACAGCTTGTATGTCAAGTAGTCTAACCATCTCAAAGCCTGAGACTCGTACACCGCAAAGTTCAGAAGGTGAGTCGCCGACGCACTAGCCTTTTACTGCGCTAGACGAATACGGCAAACCAAAGAATGAGACAGCTTTGGCCACACGTAGGTTCATTTCAAAGCAGGTACGTCAATCCAGCGTCCCGGATTGATTTCACAGATGCAACGCTGGCGTCTTCGTTGGCGCCAGTCCAGTGTGCATCCCTGGCGCCCCCTGCTAAAAAGAACAAATCAAAAAAAAAAATCAAAGGAACCCCGGCGACTCCAAGGGGGTCACACACACGCCTCCCGATCAGGGAGGCCAGGTCTATTTTTCTAAGTGACAAACAAATGTGCAAAGGTGCGTGTGGTTGCAAACCAAATGTACAGGGACAACAGTGAACCGTATCTCATTGTCAAGACCTGGGCGACCTGAAACCTGGGTTAAAAGCAGTTGTGCGCGTACATGCTAAGGGCCGGACCGGTGTGCGTGCAAGAGAAAGAACGGAGTGAGATGACAGGACATGAAGCCGGGAAAGACATGAAACAAAAGAAAGAAACAAAGTGTGTGCGCGCGAAGGGGACAGGATGAAAAGGGAACCTTAATGGAGGGAAACCGACGAAGCCAGACCTCATGAAAGCGATCTAGGTAGACCTGCCTGCTTGGCGGCCCGCTTCGGTTACTATCTGGTTATGGGGGTTGTACTACTTAGTAACAACTGCAAGTGAGGTTACAAGTGGCCTAAGTTATGTTATAACTGCTGTCATGCTCCTATTTGCAGGTAGCATGCATATATGTATGGTTCCAAACATACATCTGTTTACACTACATATATCTACTTAAGGTTAACTTACTAAGTACTTACCTACAACTTACTAACTACTTGCGCGTCACTTATTAACTAGTTGCACTACAAAGCTATGTGCGCTATGTATGACATATGCATGTTTGAACTTGGCCAGCTGGCCCATTCGACAAACTAAATCCAGAAAACCAACCAATGCTGAAACTCAGATACATAAAGCACTCGCGCCAAAGTGGTGCCAACGGGAAGAAAATCTTGGAGCTGTCAAGCATACACTAGGCCGAAACTTTCGCAAGGATATGTGACCCCAAACAGTCTCGCGCAGCAGGGAGGCCTCTCGCTGGCAGATGTTTTGTTGGTTCTACTAGCTGCTGAGCGCGCAACTTGTCTCATGTTGTTTAAATCTGCGCAAGGAGCATATGTTTGTCCAAACAATCTCGCGCAGCAGGGGCGTTTCTCGCTGGCAGGTGTTACGTTGGTTTTGTTTCATGCTGTTGAGCCCGCAACTCGTTTCATGTTGTTGCAGTTTCCACAAGAGTGTGCTTGCCCAAACAGTCCCGCGCAGCAGGGAGGTTTCTCGCTGGCAGGTGTTACATTGGTTTTGCTTCATGCTGGCGCGCGCGCAACTTGTTTCATGTTGTTGGGCGTTCCGAGTAAAACTGCACAAAATTGGTGCGTACAATCAGCTCAATTGCATGTTGCAGTGTTGTTTCTTCGCAGATTGCAAACATGTGTAATGATTTTCACAAGCTTTGCATTTTCGCAAACCATTTTTTCTTTGAATGTGATGCGTGCGCAGTCTTGGCTTTGCAAGCACACACGTCATTCAGCACACTTCTGGCTGGAAGATGGATTCGAAGTTGCGGGCGGAGGTTGAAGACCGCTTGGCGCGGGCGTTGGAAGGCGAGCAGCTGGTGGTCAACGTCCATGCCATCCTAGATACACTGGAGAAGGCAGGCTTGGTATACAATGCCAAGCTGGCGCCACAAGTTGGCGCCCACCCTCAGAATCGGGATGGGCTTGGGATTGTGGGCGATGCAGTCCATGACCTTTGCCGCAGAAAGTGGATGCGGTTGCTGTTGAGATTCCAGACGGGAGTGAAGGAGACGAAATCCGTCGATTCAATCACAAGTTGGTTAACATGTCTTCGGGACGCTTGGGCATTAGGCATGCTGACAAGCTCCGCGCAGCCACACTGCGCGGTTCCCAAACAAATTTTGCGTCGAGGATTGCAGCAGATGGTGTTGAACACCACAGCGAAGGGGTCACAGTGGATGGCAAAATCTCAATTCAAAAGATCCAGGAACGAGATCCAGGGCTGCACGATGTTATCGTGAATGGTTTACCGTGGCGCATGATCACAAAAGCAGTTGCCCCAGAATTTCCCTCAATTGCTACCTTTGATCCAGCAGTGCGGCAACGCCAGCCTGGTCAAAGGCGAAGGCGAACTGCAAATCCTCAGAAGGCTACACAGCCTTCTCACCCAAGAGAAAAATGATGGTCTGATGCCTGACTACCAGCGCGTCAAGAAGAGAGCGCTTGCAAGCCGGCCAGCGTGTGCGAAATCAGCTCCCCATTTGTACCAGTTCATGCTGAAGTTTGCAGGTGGCCACGACGGCAGTTTCTTGGTGGAAACGGAGAAGTTTTGCCGAGCTCATGGCTCTTCCACAAAAAGCCTGGGTCCTGCCTTGTGGGAAGTCTTGGCTGCCGATGTGAAGGGCCGAACAGACCAACATGTCTGGGTCCGTGAAACCAAACCGAGCATGCTTTGTAACTTGAAGAAATGGACTTTGGTACCAACAACCATGAACATCAAGTGCGACACGGAGCCTGCACCTGACCACTACTTTTACTTTGAACCCCACGGTGATCTTCCCCAAAGAAGATGGCGAATCCGGCTTTGTCATACCGTTTTGGTTTGTGGAGACAACGTCCAAAGTTGAAGAAGCTACCATGCAGGTGACTATGGTGAAGGTTGGAAACCCCAAGCTTCAAATCCCCATTCTGACGAATGTTGGCCAACTCAACAAGGGTGACCGCCTGGCCATCTACAAGAAGAAGGTGACGAAGGAAGCAGAGCCTCTCGAGGTTTCTCCGGCGAAAAAGCGTCGAAGAGAGAAAGGCCCTGAGTGAAATAGGTTCCGAGATGTTTGAAACAGTTTTTTGAGCTGGCACTTTTGAGCTGGCGCGCCTGATCGCACCCATGAAAGAACTGCCATGACGCCTGATTGGGCATGTTATGTGACTTATGTGTTTTTCATTGGTTTGCAATAAGCAAGCTCGCGCGCATGCTTTGAAGCAGCAGCGCAGGGTCACCATGTATGCACGCATGGATGCTTGAAACAGTTGTGGCAACATTTAGAACAAACGTCCCGCAATGTACATTGTACATGTTTCTGGCTGTCTTTGGCGCTGAGCAAACTCGCACACATGCTCTTTCTTGAGCGTGGCAGTGCAGGGTCTTCGTGAATGCTTCGACCATGTTTGACATGCTGCTTCATTCCTTTGTCTCAGTGGATCAAGCTTCTGCGTGCCGCTGCCACCATGTCCATGGAGCTGATTCGCCAGTACAAGCTTGCGTCACAACATGCAACATGGACACCGACGCAGAAGGAAGAAGCTGGAAAGAGTTGGTTTGCTTTCTCAAAGTGGGACCGTGGCTTTGTTTACTGGGTCACGGGCAAGTCTTTAGACCTGAGGAAGGAGAAAGAGGGTGGGACTGTGAACGCCAAGTTCTGCCAGGACCTGCTTGAAGTTCGGCAAAAGGCTTGCGACGCAGCTCTGGCGCAGGCTATCTCAGACGATGATGAGCCCAATGCCAAGCGGAGGAAGTTGAGGGCCAAGGCCAAGGACCGCCAGCAGTGGGCGCCGCGCAGCGTGAAAATTGAGATGCCTGGGTATGAATCAGCGTGTGGAGAGCATGTTGAGCCACTTGAAGCACTGGCCCTCTTCGAAGGAGTTGGAACCCAGCAGATGTGGCTGGAGCTTTCGTTGGCAAACCTCCA